AGAAAGTATTCCAATACTTTCTTGACAGAACTTAAGTATTGTAATTTTTTTGAGTTGTAAAGCATTCCAACTTTCCTCTAATCACTTTTAGTGTGATTCCTTGACTTGTTAAAATTGTTTTGAGGTTACAAAATATGTCAAGGGTCTTTTTCATGAATTATTTAAAAACTTTCAAGTGATTAGTGTCATGGATAATGCATGTACGGAATTAAGTATCCTTTGAGCTCATTTATGCACCATTAGTCAATTACCTTTACATTCAGACCTAAGCCTCAAGGATATACTACTATCTTGATCATGTGTGTTGAATGATTTGCTTCTGTTGTCTCGTTGAATTGTTTCCTTGGACTTTTTGATTGTTGTGAGTTGTATTATCCTTGAAGTCGCTTCCAAGCTTGTTTGTTATCATCAAAACTCTTGTATAATTGCACTCTTCATTTTGAGTGCATTGGTTTCACAGCAATAAATAAACGAAATGCAAATAGATTCTCATAACTACTTCTGTTTATTGTTAACAATCCTTTAGTTTTCTTTACAAGGCTTACGTTAGGTAAGTCACTTGTAAAAATCAAAAAATTTATTTGGGCCTTCGGTGCCATTATCAAAGCCTCGTCAGGAAGGTTAATAACTTTACCAAAGTTGGATTTAATTAACCATTGTTTAATTTCAAAATTATTCTTATTAGCCAAATGTTGTCGATGTCAAGCCGTACAATAACGTAATAAAATTTTGAAATTATTAAGGTTCAATCAAATAAAGTCCGATCATGCTTATCCATCGGGACTTCACATGACCATTTTATTAATAGACCCACAAATGGAGCCCGCATGTTTTAAAATTAAATACTTAATTTAAAACTTTCACTCATTCAATATTTTTAATGAGAATTTTCATAAGCTTTGTTGAATGTAAAATTCATTGTTTAATTTCAAAATTATCTTTAATAACTTAGTATAGCCGACGTCAGGCCGTACAATACTTTATTAAAATTTTGAAATTCTTAAGGCCAAATAAAATTCAATTATGTTTATCTGTCGAGGCATCACATGATTATTTTATTGATAGGCCCACAATGCGGCTGGGGGTTAAATTATTTCTTAATTTAAATCTCATCCCATGATTATTTAGATCCAATGTAATAAAATTCAATCATGCTTATCCGATGGGCTTCATATAATGGTCATATAGTGCACTTTGAGGTTAAATTAATTTCTTAATTTATATATCCTCTCATTCAACATAAGCAACTTTTCCAATTTTTAAGAATTATTTAATTGAGCGTAACCTTTATTTAATTTCAAAAATTATCCTTAGCATCCAAGCATTGTCGAAGATGGATCGTACAATACTTAACTAAATTTGTGAAATCATTAAGGTCTTAAAATCCGATCATGATAGACAGCGTGTGCTTTACACATGACCATTTTATCGTACCCATAATTTATTCGCAAAATAAATAATTTTCTAAGGAAATTTTTAATTATTTATCTAGATTTAAATTATCCTAAAAAATGACTTAATTATTAATCTTAATTATAGGAATCATAATAATTGTCATAGTATGAAGATAATTTGAAATCAAAATAATTATTATAACGATCATTAAATTATTAAATTTGTTATGCATATATTTCAAAAATTAAAATTAAGGTCATAATGACCATTAATCTAGCCTATCAAATGTAATAACCATTACATTTAAATTTTAAACTATGAATTAATTACCATAATGACTACTAATCTAGTCGTAGAAACATAGCAGTCATCATGCTCATGTAATTAACAAGTTATGAAATAATATGGCAACACCTATTCTATATGGCATGTTATCATATCAAGCATGTTATCAACCATATAATTCATTCATTCATAAAATTAAACCAATTATAAATTAAACTTTAATCCATGGTTTCTTAGAGAAAAATAAAGAAAAATTACAAAAAGAAACAAAAAACTCTCTTTAGCCCGTTTCCTTCTTCCTTTTAGTCCACAAGTTCTGTTTCAAGCCCTTTATGGTAACCATGGGACTAAAGGTCCAAAATGCCAAATTTTGGCGAGAAAGCCTAAGTCAACTTTCATGAACCCTAGCCCTCCACTGCGCCATCACCCAAACTAATCTCAGCACGAAACTTAGGGTTAGGACTGCCATAAAGAGACGAAGCTACGGCCACAGGAACCACCTTAAATAGACTTCTCAATCGCTCTCACGCACTCCATCTTCACCGGCGCATGGCGCCAACGTGCAGCCTCTTTTGGCGGCGCGTGGAGGATCCTCTCGGCCGGATTCGGTCGTCTTCTTGTTCGGTTTTCTGTCATCTTTCACCCCATGTGGTTAGTTTATCTGATTGGGCACCTGATGATCACGAACATATCCAAAATAGATCTGGATCTCCTTTGTTTTCGACTTCTCTCAATTTTGTAATACAAAAAAAATGCAAAAATTGAAATAAAAAATCAAGAAGGAAACATAATCATACGGGATTAGCCTCCTTGTTATAATCCAAGAAAATACAATCAAATCTATACCATGGATTAAAGCCAAAAACCAAGTAAAACTCGATTTTTATAAAAAGAATTATAAAACATACACATGCCAATATATAATAACAAATATAGAACCCTAGTTGCCATATTTCACGAAGCTACCTAATTACATGAATAATTGTAAATCTAAAACTAGATCCATATCCAAACACTCAATCCGGCTCGGATACCAATTGTAGGCGCAATTGGATCTACGGAAGAATTTTACACCATTGCAGTTTGGGATGTAAATTGATCATTATCGTTTTACTAATTTACCTCTTGATGTGCAAATCTCGGGCAGATTCTCTCCATGTACAATTCATCTTCACGAACTACTCACCTTAGCGCTGATAACTCTCCCAAATGAGAGTTAATTTAGTATTTTTATGATGAATTTGTTGCATAAATTCCATATAAGTTGACCTCTTTGCATGATAATTGAGCTAAATATTGTATATTTATGATTAAGTGCTTTGAGATGACTAAGTATGAAAAATAAGACAATATCCCTTGATTTTGTGTAAGAAAAGATGACTTGTTGAATGTTTGTCTTTGCAGGAAAAATTGACGTAGGAATGCTGTAGCAGAGAAGCTGACGAGTAATGATATAGCAAGCGCTACAGGATGACAGCGTGGACAAAGGAACAACCGAACTTTTGAATTTCAAAAGTTAGTTATTCCCCAACAATGCACCAGCAAGCAAGAGAAGTTTCTGAAGATTTAATTCAGAAACAACAAGGGTCAAAGACAAATTCAAAGATTGAATCTTATCCAAATCCCAAAGAACAAGGACAACAACCTTGATTCGGTCAACAACATTGGCACAAGAAATCCAAGAAGATAAAGATCTTATCCAATTAAGTGCCAACAAATCCAAAAATCCCAAGAAATAAGGACAACAAACTCAGCTCTTATTCGGTCAACAACAACATCGGCACAAGGATTCCAAGAAGATCAAGATTTTATCAAACAAGTGCCAACAGCCCAAGAATCTAGGGATACGATAAGGCTGCAGCAACAAGATTCATGGATTATAACTCTTAACCCAAATGCCCAATTGCCCAACCATTTTTCCTATTTAAGATGAGCTCCCCCACGAGTTAAACCACAGTTCGGAACAAAGCGAGAGAGAGGTCAAAAAGGCAAGAAAGAAGGGAGGGGAAGAATGTAGTACCCCTCCCACGTTTTAGAGAGAGAAAGTAAGGTTCTTGGAGGAGGAAGAGTTGCTGGAGCAGTGCTGGAGCAAAGCAGTGACAACATTTTCCTACAGCATTCGTTTTCATCTTCTTTTCTGTTTTCCAATGATTTCTTTCTTTCTTTTCTCTGTTTTATTTAATTCCATTATGAGCTAAATTGCTCTATAGGTTAGGTGATAAAGTACTTATGCTGTAACATTGAGATGTATGCCTAAACTTTGTTTTTATCAATGTTTAATTAGTTATTCAACGAGTTTGCTTAATCTTATTCATGTGTGCATGTCGAGAGATACATATATGATATTGAGGAGGTTGGGGCCGAGAGGTTTCCGAATCCAGACCCTTGTTGAATTGTGTGGATTACTTAGGTTAATATAACTTGATTAAGTTGTGGGTAGAGAGATCATTCACACCACATAGCCTAGAACTTGAACTTGAACAATTCAGTGATTAGTTTGGCCATAGAGATGTGGGAATTAGTTATTGGGTATATATGTTAGGTTGGCCAAAAGCCCCAGCATACTTTAGTGTTCGGTTACTAGTTAGCATTGATATAGCATCGTTAAAGCATCGTTTCAGTATTGCTGTATCAGGGAAATTGAATCTGACCTATATCTCATCCATCATCTTAATACCTTTAAATTTAGCTTACTGTTTTCTTAGTTTAATTATCTTTTAATTTACAAACCCAACCATAAAAATTAATACGTTTCTAGTTTCTTTACTTGAATAATTATTGCTTTATAAATCATCTTCGTGGGAACGATACTTGGACTCACACATCGCTTTATTACTTGTGACACGTGCACTTGCGTATTTGTGTGATTGATTTAATTGATTGCAATTTGCACAACAAGTTTTTGGTGCCGTTGCCGGGGATGATTTCTTTAAAGTTTTTTATTTAAGTGAAGAAATTCTCTCTTCTTTATATCTTTTCTTTTCTTTTATATTTCTTTTCTTTCACCTTTCTTCTTTTTTGTTTTCAAGTGTTAATTGCAGCGTTTGAGCAGTTCTCCAACCAAGCAAGAAGTACCTTTTAATCCTGAGATTGAACGGACGTTTTGAGATAGAAGTAGAAAGCAAAGACGTAGCAACGCTACAACATTACCTGATATGGCAGCAAGAATGGCAGGAGTAAGAGTTAGCAATGAAGAGCCAATTCATTCCTAGATCTCAATCAGCGCACAAAGAATCCTAGCACTCAAGAACCTTCATTCTCCAATTGTTCAACCAGAAATTGCAGCAGCAAATTTTGAATTGAAACCGGTCGTGTTTGACATGCTGGAAACAATTGGCCTATTCAATGGGATGCCTAGTGAAGATCCACTTCTCCACCTAAAAAATTTCATGGAGGTAGCAGATAGCTTCAAGACACAAGGAGTTACATCAGATGCACTGAAGATGAAGTTATTTCCCTACTCTCTCACCAATGGGGATAAGGTATGGCTGAACACACTACAACCTAATTCCATCCGTAGATGGGAGGACATGGCTGAAAAAGTCTTGATGAAATTATTTCCTCCCACGGAAGCAATTCAGTTAAGGAATGATGTAGCAGCGTTCCAGCAATATGATGGTGAGACACCTTATAAAGCATGGGACAGATTCAAGGAATTGCTGCAGAAATGCCCTAATCGTGGTATACCAGAATGGATACAATTGGAGACTTTTTACAATGGTCTTAACGATCAAACAAGGGGTGTAGTTGATGCATCAGCTGGAGGAGCTCTCTTAGCTAGGACATTCACTGAAGCATATGAAATCCTAGAGAGGATGGCATTTAGCAACTACCAGTGGCCAACAGAAAGAATGAATACACCAAAGAAAGCTGCTAGAGTGCTGGAGCATAATGATGTATCAGTGTTGGTAGAACATATTTCATCTTTGAATGATACAATCAACTCACTCAACTTGTCTGCCGATGTTAGAGCACATCAAGTGCATGCCATAACCAATGTTATATCATGTGTCTTCTGTAATGGTCCTCATGTTTATGATAACTGTCCAAAAAATCCTCAATATGTTTGTTTTGTAGGAAGCTATAACATGAATAATCCATATTTAAACACCTACAATCAAGGATGGGGGAGCAACTCAATTCTTTCATATTCACAAGGACAACAACAAGAATTCTCTGCTACAGCAACACATTCAAACAGAATTTCATACCCTTATGAATTTATGCAGCAGCAACAGCCTATTCAACAAGTTGATACATCAAATACGCTGGAAAGCATGTTGAAAGACTTTATGGCAAGAAGTGATGCCCTTATCCAGAACCAAACTGCATCTATCAAAAACTTGAAAACTCAGATGGGACAATTGGCAGAAGCAATCAAAATCAAACAATATGACACACTTCCTAGAAGCACAGAGTATCCAGGGAGAAACGAAGAGGAGCACATCAAGGCCATTGAAATAAAGAATGGAGAAGAACATGTCAATGCTATAGCAATATCAGGTGGTGAAGCCGTAGATGAACCAGAAGTTATAAAGAACTACCATGAGCAGAAGCAGAAGGCATTAAATGAAAAAGGAAGGAGATAAAGCTGTAAAAGAGGTGGAAATATATGATCAACCCGAAGAACCTGAAATTGCTGGCACTGAGAGTACTGCTATAGCAAAACTACAGCATGGTCAGACCGTCAGCGAGACAATCATACAACCATCTCCTTTACCTCAAAGGCTACAAAAGCAACAAGATGCCATGCAAAAAGAGTAAACCTTGAATGATCTTGAGGCTAATGTGAAATTGATGCCTATGACTCTGCTAGAAAAGATGGGAATAAGGAGCATAAGGTCTGCAAAGATGACTCTACATTTGCCTAATCGCTCCATCAAAGCATCAATTGGAATTGTTGAAAATATGAATGTCAAGATAGGCAACTTTGCACACCAAGTAGATTTTGTGATGCTTGACATAGAGGAGGTCCCTACTATTTCTCAATTTCTTGAGGAACCATTCTTTGATACCCAAAAAACTATAATAGACATGTGGAAAAGTGATTTAATTTTAAAGATGGATGAAGATCAAGTGCATACCATTGAATATACGGAAGATGGGATAACAAACCTCGATGTTCCTCAATCATTAAGGGTTGGAAGCAAGCCCAAGGTCAAGATGAAGGAGTCTACATGCGAGAAGAATTGGATCGAAGAATCAAAGTTGTTCTTCGCTCTTTGTTTCAAGCCTCCTTGATCATCAATCCAAGTCAGGCTGAAGACTATAAAACAAGCGCTTTTAGGAGGCAGCCCAAAGTTCAATTAGGAAGTTTTTAAAATTATGCAATTTAATTTCAGTATTTTAAATTCTTGTAATTTTTTTTCGTATATTAAATTATTAGGATTAAGATAAGTTAGTATTCATGTTTCTTTTTAATTTTATTTAAGATGTTTTGCAGGGAGAAAAGGGTATTGATGCCCAAAAGAGAAGAACTCAAGCCACAACAAAGGCTTGAGTTTGGAGTCCCCTAAACACTCAAGCCACAGCAAAGGCTTGAGTTTGGAGTCTCCCAACCCTATTTTTTTTTTCTTTCACTCGAGGCAACCAAACTGAGTTTGGAGTGGCAACAATAGAGAAGCCACGCACCCAAAGTGGAAAAATCAAGGCAAAGATGAAGAAATGGGAGAGGAGGTTAAGCAAAAAGATGAAAACATGGAAGATAACCCCTTGGACCAATAAGAAGACAAAGACTAAGATCAGAACTTCCCTCAGTTTTGATTAAAAATGAAGAAAAACCCAGGTTGTCTTGTTCTTTTCTTTTTCTTCTCTTTTTGCTATATGTAATCCCATGCATCACTTATGAAGTTAATGAAAAAAAAGGAACATGTTTGCTAGTTAGATAGATTTTCAATTCGGTAAACTTACTTTTCAGTTTTGTTTGAATAAAGAAGTTAGGTATACATTACAGCATGAAAATAATGAAAAAGAGTTGGAAAAAGCCTTAATAAAGAGTAACAAGAAGTTGGAAAAGAAGGATGCATCAATAAGGTAAAACAGATTGCATCCTTAGCTATGTTGTTATGATCATTTTTGTTGTAGCAGGATGGCAGTAGTTACATTGAGTGAGAGTAAGTGTTCTTTAACTTGAACTTGAAAAGCAATGAAGGTATGAATTGGAGGCTGAAATGATCAAAGCAGAAAACAACTAGAGTGATTGAACATGCAAGCACAAGTATGAACTTGAAAGCAAGAGAAGCCTAAAGAGTGGATTGCGGATGAGGACTTAGAATCCAAGTTTGATGGATTTGAATCTTACCATATGAGTAAGTTTTGAAGGCTATAAGGGTGAAAAAGCCGAGCTAAATCAAGTGCAAAAGCACAAGTGGAAAAGAAAGCCCCTCACAAAAAGAAAAATCAAGTCAAAAGCAAAAAAATAAAATAAGTGCCAATGCACATGAGCAAAGCTCACAAAAAATAAAAGAGAGAGCCCAAGTCAAAAGAAAAGCAAGCAAGGTGGACACTCGTTCCTTCAATTCTCTACACATAGGTTTTGATTCAAGTTTGGCAAAGTATGGATAAGGCAACTAAGTCTTATGACTCTTAGTTAGATGCTCTCAAGTGGATCTAGCCAACAAGGAAGTTCTTCACACACACGTACTCAATACTCTAGAAGCAAAAAGCCAAAAGAAGTAAAGCTAACAAGGGTCCCAAAGTTGAAGTGTAAGCCAAGGTTGAAAGGCAACTCTCACGTGTACATTGTTGTTGGAATGCTACATCAGAACAGCTCATCTCAATAATAGTCATTGCTGCAATTATGCTGTTGAATTTATGCAGGTCAATTAATCATTTTCTTCTTTGTTACTCGAGGACGAGCAACGTTTTGAGTTTGAAGTGTGATAACTCTCCCAAATGAGAGTTAATTTAGTTTTTTTATGATGAATTTGTTGCATAAATTCCATATAAGTTGACCACTTTGCATGATAATTGAGCTAAATATTGTATATTTATGATTAAGTGCTTTGAGATGACTAAGTATGAAAAATAAGACAATATCCCTTGATTTTGTGTAAGAAAAGATGACTTGTTGAATGTTTGTCTTTGTAGGAAAAATTGACGTAGGAATGCTATAACAGAGAAGCTGACGAAGTAATGATGTAGCAAGCGCTACAGCATGACAGCATGGACAAAGGAACAACCGAACTTTTGAATTTCAAAAGTTAGTTATTCCCCAACAATGCACCAGCAAGCAAGAGAAGTTTCTGAAGATTTAATTCAGAAACCACAAGGGTCTGAAAGCCCAACAGATCAAGGCCCATCAATTGTAACTAACTCCAACCAACTCTAGCTGTATAAACAAGACATAGTGCATAAATGTAAACGATACGATTCAGTTACTAATCACAATACAATGAGGTTTTATGTTCCTTCTGTTTTCTCTCTCTCTCATGTCTCTTGAATCTAACATGGTATCAAGAGCCTGATTTGATCCATGGAGACCTCAAATCTAATAATGGAAACCGCAGATTCAATGTTGAAAGCAACAGATCCGAAAGTACAAGGCTCGAATGTCACGGGAAAGTCTACTTCGTTATGCTCAATTACAAGTTCAGTTCACACATTTTCCAGTCCAGTTTCGTTCAAGTTGAATGAAGATAATTTTCTGCCATGGAAGCAGCAAGCTCTGGCTACAATCAAAGGTTACAATCTTATGAAATTCATTACTCAAGATGCATCAACATTTCCAGAAACTGAAAGCTCTGATGCTGCGCTTTGGGAACAACAAGATCAACTTCTCCTTTCATGGTTGCTTGGATCCATGTCAGAGGTAGTCTATATGAGAATGGTTGGATGTGAAAACTCCTATCAGGTTTGGCATAAACTTGATGAATTTTTCTCTTCTCAAACTAGAGCAAAAGTGAAACAATTGAAAATTCAATTGAGCAGTGCAAAGAAAGAAAGTAATGTCTCTAAATACCTGCTTCAAATAAAGAAGATAGTAGATTCACTGAGTGCAACAGGTTCTCCTGTTGGTGTAGAGCAACACATTGATGCAATATTGGATGGTCTTGGTGAGGAGTATGATCCGTTTGTTACATCTGTTATGTCTCGAACCGATCCTTATACGGTTGGTGAAATTGAAGCCTTACTCATGGCTCAAGAACAAAGGTTGGAGAAACACAAAAAAACTGAAGTAGGAAATCTTGAGGCTAACATGACTCAACTTCACCTTGGCAGAGGAGGATACAACAATAGATCTGGCTACAGTCACAGAGGCAATTACAACAATCGAGGAGGATACAATAATTCATATAGAGGAGGATACAACAATTTTAATAGAGGAGGATACAACAATTTTAATAGAGGCAGAAACTTCAACAGAGGAGGAAGGTTCCAAAGTAGAGGAAACAGGTTTCCTGACACTCGCCCTCAATGCCAGGTCTGTGGCAAGTATGGTCATATAGGCTGGGAATGTCATAATAGATTCAATCAAAATTTTCCCACTCCCTATAATCATGATAATGTTGTTGCACCACAAGCTCATGTTGCTGAAACCTCCTTCCCAAAGCAAGATGATACCAGTGAATTCTTTTCAGTGATGGATCACTCTTGGTATCCTGATTCTGGGGCCACCAATCACTTCACACCCGATGGAACCAAGCTTCTCAGCAAAACTCCATATCATGGTAAGGAATCTGTTCAAGTAGGTAATGGATCTAATTTGAAAATCAAAAATATTGGTCATACTGTTATACATTCACCATTCACACCCTTGTCCTTCACATTATCCAACCTTTTGCATGTACCTGGTATCTCTAAGAATTTACTCAGTGTCTCTCAATTTGCCAAAGAACATGATGTTCTTTTTGAATTTCATTCTAATGATTGTTTTGTAAAATCTCAGGCTACCAAGGAGATTCTTCTCCAAGGGAGGCTTGAGAATGGACTCTATGTCTTTGAAGGTACACCTATGTGCCCACCATCAAGTTGCTCAGCCTTCATAGTTGGGATCACTTCGAATAGTACATTCACAAATTCTGTTAGCTCCAAAGAAGTTCCTATGAATACTTGTCATACTGTCTTAGATACTTGGCATGCTAGATTAGCCCATGCCTCTTTACCAATTGTAAAAACAGTACTCAAAGCTTGTCATATACCATTTACTAATAAAATGACTACTCAATTGTGTTGTGCTTGTTGTATGGCTAAGATGCATCAACTTCCCCTTCCCCTTTCTACTACTCTTTATAACTCTCCTCTTGAATTAGTTTTTACTGATGTGTGGGGCCCTGCACCTGTTGCTAGTACCACTGGTGCAAGATATTACATTCTTTTTGTTGATGCTTTTACCAACTACACATGGCTTTATCCTATGACCAACAAATCCCAAGTTTATACCATATTTACTACCTTCAAAACCATGGCTGAATTACAGCTCAACACCAAAATAAAAGCCCTCCAAACTGACAATGCCAAAGAGTATCTCAAACTCACCCCATTTCTTCAACAACATGGTATTCTCCATCGTCTCACCTGTCCATATACACATCAGCAGAATGGCAAGCCTGAACGCAAGCACAGGCACATTGTTGAAACTGGCCTAGCA